TTCCCGCAGCGCGGCCGGGGGGGTCTCGGCTCAGCCGATGTTCACCTCTTCGTGCCAGGGCGGTTGGCATTAGTTTCAGCGGTGCTTGAAGGAGAATCCCCGCCTCCCCGTGCCCGCAGCCCCTCGGGGTGCCCCTGACCCCCTCCAGCGGGATGAGGGGCACGGAGGGGGGCGGGAACGGAGCCGTCCCCGGTGGAAATCGCAGCAACTCGCTGGTTTTGGCTGGGGCTACCTAACCCCGGCTGGCGGCCATCCCTGCGATGTGTGAGAGTTGGTTTTGGTGGCTAAGGGGGCTTTTGAGGTTAGCAGATGTGAACGGCTGTTGTTGTCTCACTGAAGCACCTGGTGCTGTAAGCCCTGGAGAGAAATGCCCTGGCAGAAGAAGTTTGAGCAGCCTGTGTTTCACTTCTGAAGCTTTTGGTCCAGCCGTGATGAGATTCATCCTCGTGGCTGACAGAGGAGCATTTCTGGGACGAATTTGTGGGGTGGGAAGTTTTCGCCCCTTGTTTAGCCGTGGGGTAATCCTGGGGCAACCTGGCCGATGCTGCTATTCCTCCTGTGTTTCAGCGCCCTGCAGAGGGGAAGGGGGGGGGGGGGGCCCCAGCGAAAGCCCCTCCCAGGAACCGAAGTGTGGCAGCATGTGAGCTCGTTAAGCAAATAAATCCCAGGGATACTCTGTTCAGGCTCCTGCAGGAGAGTTTATAAAGTCATTAAAAACATTTTGATGGAAAGTACTAACCATCTATAACGCAGCATCTGTTGTTGTGTCTTTGGAAAAACACATCTAAATTACGAGGATGGGAGACAGCGAGACAGAGTGGTGGGCTTTCTGCTGAAGCAACCAGCTGGCTGGGGCTTTGGGGGAATATTGGTGGAAACTCCTTCCCATCTGTAGCATCAGGCCAGGCCCTGGCTCCCCAGATTGCTCTGGGAGCACCAGGCAAAGTCAGCTTTGAGAGGTATCAGTTCAGGGAGGAGCAGCTCTGCAGTGTTTCTGTTTCATCTCGTCCCTCAGTGAGTGTGAAGACATGAGAGAGGGTTGGTAGGGAAAGCAAGGGAGAACATCTGCAAGAAGCTTTGGCATCCCTGTGCTTACACATGGAGAGGAAGGAATGTCCTCTGCTATTAAAATAGGGTGAAATGGGCAGGGCAGGAAAGGGAAATAAGATAAAGCTGGTCCCAAGTGGCACCAGCAGCCTTACTTTCCCTGTGGGTGAGGGCAACAACTGGCTCCTGCTTAGTTTTCACTCATGTGTTTCAGCCCTGATGGACAATAGTGTAGCTGTTGACAACACCAGTAGCTTTGATTTGAGGATGAATGTCAGCAGGGAAGGGGTCAGATGAAAAGGTGATGGGCTTCTGGTATGGTGCAGTTCTCCAGGCCTCTTCTTCCAACCTTATCCTATGGCATAACCTGTAGCACTGCTGCAGGGGGATTTGTAGAATCATTACAAACGTTTTCATTGGAAACACTGTCTCTACCACAGCATTTGCTGTCACGTCTCTGGAAAAGCCCATCTCTGTTCTAACACTTGAGGGCAGCCAGGCAGGCTGTGGGCTTTCTGCTGCAAAAGCCAGCTGGCTGGCAACTGCTTCAGCCAAGAGCCATGCTTTCCTCTGCTGCTGCCCAAGTGGATTTTTTGCAGCTCAACATCTTCCTGCTTGGAGAGGCTGCAGGGTGTCCTCTGGCCACCCAGCTCCCATGTTGGCTGTTGGGGATGCAGGAGCCCTGGCCATGACCAGGATGGCTGGGAGTGCTGTGGGCAGTGTGTCAGAGCTTTTGGCAGGCAGCATTTCTGCTGTTTGCCATTCAGCCTGGTCTGGAGGCCACTAGGTGCCTCCAAGGTCTTTCTGCAATTCTTCACAAGCATGGCAAATAGTCAGCCTTGTCCTTAGAGGTGAACAGGGCCCAGGTCCCAGGGAAGTTGCAAGTTGGTGCTTTTGAGTCACTGCTCATCCTCCTCCCCAAGAGCCTGTGAGGCTGAGAGCAGCTGTGGGGGGCTCTGCAGAGTGGGGATCCACTCTCCCTTGCTGAGCCAGGCCTGAAGCCCTTGGGTCATGGTTTTTGGTGGGGTGAAGCAGTATCTTGGAAGCTGACCAGGCTGGTGGGTCCAGCAAAGTACCTGCTTTCCCAGGTTGGAGATTTTCACCTTACAGCTTCAGCTCATTGGTGTGCTTTGTGACCTTCAGGGGGCCAGAATATACCATAAGCCTCATGCCACAGTGGTTAGAGGAGACAAATCCTGGGCCTGGCACGGGAGGCTTGTGCTGCTGTCCTGGCTCTGCATTGCATCCAAAACACAGGTTGTGGCGTTGAGCCCACACGGGGGGCAGCTGCGTCTTCCTCTGTGACATTGGTTGTAGTTACTCTGCTTTTCCTAGAGCCTGTAGTTAGTACTCTGCTTTTGCAAAGCAGAACAGCAAATTCATGCAGAGGGTTTCTTGTGTTTGCCTGGTGCTGTGTCCCTGCCCACCCCAGGGTGCGAAGGCGCTTGGCTCAGCCTCAGCAGGAGGTGCAGGGCTGGAGCTGCTGCGGCCCCTCACAGGGCTGGTGGGAGAGCTGCTGGTGCTGCCCACTGTGCCTCTGATGTTGAACAAATTGTTTAAAAAAGAAAACAATAAAAGAAAAAAACCAAACAAGCAGCAGCACAAAACAACGCACACGGATTTGGTGTGGAGAAGGAATTTACTTCTGTTCCCAGTGTCAGGGCATCGCAGAGAGAGGCTCAGCAAGGAAGGGGAACTCAGGCTCGAGAGGGGAGCAGGGCTGCAGGGATGAGGGTGGCTCTGGTGGCCTTAACACATCTTCCTTTCTGTCAGGAGCAGGAGGTGGCTCAGGGGATGCCTCTGAAGGAGCTGCTGCTGCTTCTGTAATTGCTGGCGGCCGCTGCTCGGCTTAGTGGAAATCTCTTCCCTGTGGACAGGCTGCCTCGAGTCCCGCAGCCTGGAAGCTGAGGTACTGCTCTCCTTTTCGAGGTCCAGGCCATCCCATTGACCTTGTTCTTGCAGACCTTCTCCTCCGGTCTGTCTTTCGCATGTTGTCTCTGTCCAAGGGACCCTCATGGCCAGGAGCAGCTCTGCCCAGCTGCATCCCTGCAGAGCCTCAGGCCCTACCTGGGGAGAGATGCACTTGGGGTGAGGGGGCAGTTATTGCCAGGTCACCCAACTGCTGCTTTTTGGCATAGGGCCCACATCTGGCACCTGGCTTTTAGTGTGGGCAAAGGTCCCAGGAACCAGCACCCAAAGAGGTGAAGTGAGACAGCAGAAGTGGTCAAGCCTGGTCCTTGAAGGAGAGGTGGACTTCAGCCCCTTGGCAATTCTCCTCCCTTTGGCCCAGCTGCTTCAGTTGCTGCACTGTTCTAACTCGCAAACCCAGCAAAAAGCTAGCTGTTGTTTTTTTAGGAGAAAGAGTAGGACTTAATTTTTCTGCTGGATCAGTGCTCAGTCAGATCCCTGGGGGCCCAGCTGGTGCCCAGCCAGCTGTAGGGGCAGGTAGAGGAGAAGGGCTTCCCCCACGGTGGAGAGTGGCTTGGCTGCAGCATCACCCCATGGCCCTGCTCTGGCCACTGTCTCCCTCAAAACCCTCACAGGGACAAGTGAGAGGCAGGCAAGAACCCTGGTACTATAAGTCCTGAGAGGCTCATGTGACTTCTCCCTGTGGTTAAGTCTCCTTGTCTGGTGATTGGTTTTGTTGGTCCATTTTGTTCCAGGCTGCAGCGGCCAACATGGATTTTCTCTTCATCTGCCCCTTTCTGCTGGTGCTGCTGCTGTCCCGGGGCAGCTCCGCAGATCTGGAAAAACAGAGAGTGGACTCTGCCTTGGAAATCTGTATCCTTTTCTGCAGCCTGACCCTGGTGTCCTATGTGCATACTTGAGCCTGCTGAAGCTGGAGGGAGCTCCTCTGTGAGGAAAGGGTCAGAGACCACAGAAGGGGGCACAGAGGTGTGGAAGAGATAGGACAGAACTACTGGGCAGTGGCCTCTTTGCTGTTCTGTAGACAAGGCTTTAGCTGAGCTCCTGGGTTTGCTAACCGAGTGCTTGAGTTGGGGGTTTTCTGGCAGGGCCTGTCATCCTCCCAGGCACAGTGCTTTTCCTTTCTGCTCCACCACGCTGGGCATGGAACGTGTCTCCTGTTTCCTGGTCCACTCTCAGGAGCGGTGTAATCAGCCAGGTGGTAGAGTATGCGTGTGGGTCTCAGTGCTTCAGGGTTATCTGGGCTTGCAGTGCTTAGTCTCCTCTGTGCCACAGGCATTTAGTGCCCACAAAGAGGTGGGCTAATGCAAGCACTTCCTAGCACACAACAGCATCCCCCAGGGAACAGGCGAAGTATAAAAATACATTTAACACGTGTGCTTGTGGAGACATGTATGGGGAAGGTGGCAGTTGGTGTTCTTCCTCCAGCCCATCAGCCAGAGCAGCAGGCTCCCCACAAGCACCCAGTGTTGTTAAGCACCTCCCTGGGCTGTCCAGGTGAAGGGACTCAGTGGAAAACTGTGTTTCACCCTGGCTCAGGTGTTGCCCCCCAGCCCTCAGGCACCCTGCGGAAAACTGGGGGGGCTGAAATGGTGCCGAATGCCTGGAGGAGGGGGAGAATGGGACCATAGTGGGAGTATGGTGGGAGTGTGCTGGTGGCATCCTTGACAGCAGTGCAGACAAGAAGCTGTTTGAGGTGAAGCGCAAGGACCAGATGAATGCACTGAAGAACCTGATCGAGCTCAATGACGTCAACCAGCAGTACAAAATCATTGACATCATGCTCAAGGGACTGTTCAAAGTGAGCCATAATGCAGGCTGCCCTCGGACCTCACTGTGCCATGGGGCCAGGGAGGGTGGGGAAGGCCAGGGCCCCAAGGGGGTCAAAGAGAAGAGCTGGGCGGGCAGGTGAAATTTAGGACCTGAAGGGAGGATGCTGTGGGCTTTCAAGCGTGGTGGCTGGGGCAGCACCCCTAGGGTGCAGTGCACAGGGAAGGGTTGTTGGGATGGGATGGTAACTGAGGACTTGGCAGGTGCTGGAGGACTCCCGGGCTGTTCTCATCGCTGCCGACGTGCCTCCTGACGGGCCTTTCCCTCAGGACGAGAAGATAAAGGATGGTAGGTTGGCTACGGTCCTTATCCCCTTCCCTTTTCTAGTGCTCTGGTACATCACCAGCATTGCTCCTGGGACTGGCACTGGGATAGCTACGAAGCCCACAGTTACCCAGACCAGAGCTGGGCTGGTCCCTGTCTTTGGAGAACCCTGTTGCTGCCTCTCTGACCAGTTTGTATGGGGCAGTCCCCAGTCCTGGTGGGGCCCCCATGCTGGGATGCTGATGGGGGGGGGTGGCTGTCCCTGCAGCTTACTCCCACGTGGTGGAGAACACAGCCTTCTTCGGGGACGTCGTCCTGCGCTTCCCCAAGATCGTGCACCACTACTTTGACCGCAACTCCAACTGGAACAGCCTGATCCGCTGGGGCATCGGCTTCTGCAACCTGACGGGCGTGTTTGAACAGGGACCCCACTCCCAAGTTCTGGGTCTGGTATGACTCCCACTCCCCCACTGTTGTGTCCCTTCTCTGCTGCTGGGTCTGGGGGATCAGGTCTTTGGGGTAAAAGGAGGGACAGAGGGACAGGCAGAGGGCAGGGGGAGTGCACCCCATGTCTGAGGGGTGTCATTGGGCTGAGGGGTGGGGGAAGAGCACAGAGGGGGCCAATGGGGAGGAGGGGACCCTAGTCATAGGGGGATGTAGGGTGAGAGGCACCACTCCCCGACACAGTCTCAACTTTGCTGTGCAGATGGCTCAGGAGCTGGGAATCAGCGAAAAGTCACCTGATTACCGCAATCCCTTTAAAACGGACCACTCAGAGGTAAGATGGCAACACCACTGGCTCACCCTGTGGGCTTCTCCATCCTCATTATGGCTCTGAGCAGCCAGCTGGGGAAGGGAACAGGCGCCTTGGTGGGGAACAGTCAAAAACCCCCAGCATGGAGGAAGCTTGGCCAAAACGTGTGCATCAAATTCTCCAGCTGGGCTGTGGTGGGTTTTGGGTGCCTGGTGCCATCTTCCGTGTCCTGTGGCCACCTGCCCCGTGGGAGCACCAGGACCCCATTTGCCTTGTGCTGCATCGGACCTCAAGTCCCCCCTGGCACCGTGGGGCTGGCACAGTGGCTTCAGTGGGTTTGGGGCGGGGTGGTACCTCTGTGAGGCTGCCAGGCCTCCCCTGTGCTGACCCCCCTTGCTGTCACCTCCCAGTTTTTCCCCAGTGCCGACACCTTCCAGAAGGCGCTGCGGGAGGAGGAGAAGCGGAGGAAGAAGGAGGAGAAGCGGAAGGAGATCCGCAAGGGCCCACGCATCTCCCGCTCGCAGTCAGAGCTGTAGCGCCTGGGGCTTACAGGCGTGGTGGGGGTGACACTGCCAGGACATGGAGCCCCTTGCCCCCTCTCAGCAGCCGTGGGGCAGTGCTCGGTGGTCCCCTTTCCGTTTGTGCCATGGGTTTTGTTTTGTTGCCTTTCCCTTTCGCTCGGCAGGGGCTGGGCCGCGGTGCCGGGGGGTTTGTCCTCCCAGGGCTGCGGAGGGCTGAAGTGGGAGACCCGTCCCGTGGAGCCAAAGCACAGCCGGGAAGGCAGCGGGGCCATTCACTGGGCTGGCTGGGGTGCTGCCCCCCTGGAGGGGGGACAGCAAGGGGCACATGCTGAGGCTGAGCCCCACGGGGAGCCCTCCCCTCCACGGCACAGGGCGTCCCGTGCTGAATGTGCCTCCTCCGTCGTGGGTGGGCTGTTTTTCCCCAGTGCTGACACCTTCCAGAAGGCGCTGCGGGAGGAGGAGAAGCGGAGGAAGAAGGAGGAGAAGCGGAAGGAGATCCGCAAGGGCCCACGCATCTCCCGCTCGCAGTCAGAGCTGTAGCGCCTGGGGCTTACAGGCGTGGTGGGGGTGACACTGCCAGGACATGGAGCCCCTTGCCCCCTCTCAGCAGCCGTGGGGCAGTGCTCGGTGGTCCCCTTTCCGTTTGTGCCATGGGTTTTGTTTTGTTGCCTTTCCCTTTCGCTCGGCAGGGGCTGGGCCGCGGTGCCGGGGGGTTTGTCCTCCCAGGGCTGGGGAGGGCTGAAGTGGGAGACCCGTCCCGTGGAGCCAAAGCACAGCCGGGAAGGCAGCGGGGCCATTCACTGGGCTGGCTGGGGTGCTGCCCCCCTGGAGGGGGGACAGCAAGGGGCACATGCTGAGGCTGAGCCCCACGGGGAGCCCTCCCCTCCACGGCACAGGGCGTCCCGTGCTGAATGTGCCTCCTCCGTCGTGGGTGGGCTGGGGAGCGCATCCCACCGCACAGCCTCATGAGCAATGCTGCTTCTCTCAGTTTTGAGTGTTTTGGGTTCTTGTTTGTTGTTTTTTTTTAAGCCGATGATGTCATCGGCACCCTCCCACCTGGTGGTACCTGAGCTCTGCCCCGCTGCTACCTCTGCCAGATCATCTCTCCCCTCTTCCCAGTGCCTGCTCACCAAGCCGCTGGAGTTTCATCCGTCAGCTGTTGTTGGAAAGGCTGGCGGTGCCTGTTCCCAGCCCGATGGGTGTCCCGCTGTCCTGGGCAGCTACCGCAGGGCTGCAAACACACAGCGAAATTTTGGGAAGGGGGAGATTTCAGCTCTTGGCCCTCTTTGCAGCTGCTGTGTGCCCATCATGCGAGCACTGCTGATGCCGAAGGTGCTGAAGAACCAGCCCTGAATCCCCTGACCTTACACCCCATGCCCGGCCCATACCGTCCTACCCTCACACCCCTCCAGTGTGGGTTCCAACGGGCTGCGACCCTCTGTGGGGCGTTGGGGCTGTGCTGGGAGCAGGGGCGAGGGGCCGGCCTGGCCCCGGGACCCTGCACAGCAACCCCTGCCCGTTCTCGTGGTTGCAGATGAACTCACACCAGAAAAAGCTTTTCCGGAGGGACTGTCCCCAGGAGGTGGGTGCGCTGTGCCCGGCTGGGAGCACCGCGGCCTTCGGGAAATGGGGAAACGTCCTGATTTTTAACTGCGGACCCAGGTCCTTCCAGTGGCGGGGGGTGGGGAGGGGGTGGCAATGAGCGTGTGTTTTGTTTTTCTTGAATAAATTTGACTTTTTT